ACGGCAGAGGGAACGGCAGAGGGAACGGCAGAGGGAACGCCGAGCCGTTCTGCCGATTTCAGAGCCTGAAGCTCCGGCATCTTTCCTGCTTGACGTCCTGTCTGCCTTTCACATGAACGACTGACATGAACGTTTGCGCCGCTGCTACCTGCAGCTATCTAAAGTGGCGGTGCTCTTTAAAACCATCATTCTCACGCTGGTTTCACTTTCAGCTCAGAAATGTCTCAGATGTTGAAGCGTTTTCTTTAAATGAGGCTGAAATGGACCAGAACCAGAACCAGAACCTTTGAGCTGAACCAGGAAACGCCTCATGCAGGTCAAAGTGTTGCTGAGGGATGAAAGGATCAAATAAATATTTAACAATAAAACATTCTTCTGCCATGTAAGACTGATGAAATGTCTGAAGGCTTTTTCTGCATTAATAAACACATTTCTATTAAAAAATCATATGTTGCACCTGTATGGTGGGTTTTAAGGCTCATCTAAAGAAAAACCCATTAAATTATTAAATTGTTTCTGGTAAATCTGGGATGTTTTTCCTCTGAACTCTTTAACTCGTCATGAATAAAGAGACGTTCTGAGTGAAATTAACATTTTATATTGTAATTTGTGGAATTCAGAGAAATAAAATCTGTGAAAAAAGCAGAATATTTAAAATATTTAAAATGGTCCTGATTTACATCTATGTGGTTTATTATTTAAACAATATTTTACTGTAGGAATTAAAAGGGATTTTTCTGCAAGTAAATTTAACATGATTGTAATTTTTAACAATAAACAAAAAATTTTCTGAAATCTTTTGAGCTTCTGGAGCAAATCTTTACTTTTGGTTTCAGAAAAGTATTTCAAATGAAGTCAGAGGAAACTGGAAGAGAAAATGTCTTTTCTGTGGTTCAGGCTGCGAGATAGAGAGAGAGAGCAACACTTTCAGCAAGTAACAGGAAGGCAGAGCTTCTGAACTTTTAGCCTTCAGGTGTTTTAAAATGTGCTGGATTTATAAATGTTGGCAGATGAACTAAAGGTGAGAGAACAGAAACTAAACCCAACGATGAAGATCATAAAATCACTAATAAAGAAAAGAAAAACGGTAAAACTGAATATTTCACCTCAAGATGGAAACAAACTTCGTCTGTTTATGTCATCCCAGGTTTACTTATCGGTCCGATACCGATACGTTAGACATCGTCTGATTCCGATGCTCAATCCGATATATCGTACATTCGTAGCCTGATCGTTTCAGCCTGGCTGATTTGGTCCAGGTAGCGGCTGAGCCGTTCTCCCTGCACACCAACCATCTTCAGATTTAACATCAAAGTCGGCAGCGAAGCGCTAAATGCTGCTAAAACAACCAGAAGGTTCCTCTGCAGCTCTGCTGATGACGCTCTGGTTTCAGTCCAGCCAGCAGCAGACGGAGATTCTGCTTCACACTGATACTGAAACTCATTACGGTTTAGATTCACAACGTTTTTATTCCCAGCCTTCATGTCAGACCAGACACGTTTCTGAGCGCTCATTAGCACCAAGCTGTGTGTTTGTTGATGAATGAACTCAGTGAAGGGAACCTTAATTACATCTGAGTTCAACAGATAAACTTCAGGATGGTTTCAAAAGCAGCTCACTGCCATTACCTCTTCTTCTCTGCTTTTTATTTGCCTCTGAAAGGATAAATTATTGTGTTGCTTAATTAGCGAGTGGTTTTTTGCTTCGATTCACAGAAACAATGTTGTTTGGATAAATTAGAGGAGCTGCTCTCTCCTCCCTTCAGTGTTTTTATTTTTGTGTGAATGGTTTCCTGTGATGCTGCTGCAGCGTTACTCCAAACGGAGGAATGTAAAAACTGTCCCTTTAATGTCGTTTAGTCTGGTTTTTAGTCAAAAAGACACACACACACACACACACACACACACACACACACACATTGTTTCTGACTCCCTGAAGTTAAATCAGACCAAACTTCTCTTGTTTTAGGTTAAACAAAATGACTATAATTATTTCCATCAGAAGTCGATTAATGATTGAAAAATGCTCTTGCTAAGTTTCCTGGACTTTATAAGCAGCAATAACTTCAGTGATTCTGACCAGAAATAAGAAACCAAGTTTGCTCTGATGCAACATAAAATCTGGGATTGACATTAAAAGTTAACTTACTTTTTAAAATCAATTTAAGACTTTTTAAGACCTTGATTTTAGATGCATGAATTTAAGACCATTTGAATGAACTTTAATATTTATATTTCCACAGAAATGTAAAAACTTCATCCAGCCATCAGGCAAGAAACTCAAAAAAACTAGCTAGCTAGTTAGCAAGAAAACAAATACACAGAATATGTATCTTGAAAAAGTTATTTTTAAATATATTTAAGACATTTTAAGTCTGCAGGTGGGATGGAGCGTACCTTGGTCGTTGGCCATCTTGTCTGGAAGCTCCACTGGAACAGCAGCAGAAACAAACGAATCAGAAACAGAAGAATCAAACCTCGACTGCAGCCTCTGATAAAACCTGACCCACCTTTAGCCGTCCTGAACTGCACCGGCTCCGACAGAGGTCCCACTCCTTTGGCGTTTTTGGCCTGAATCCTGAAGTAGTATACGGTGTCGAGGTTCAGGTCCACGACCTGGTGGGTCAGCCGGTCGCCGCTGATGGCCTCCATCACCCAGTCGTCGATGGGCATGTTCTTATCCAGGGTGTAGTACAGGATGTAGCCTGCCAGACGTTAGCAGATTTAATAAGCTGTTTGGAAGCAGACGTAGAGAAAGTTTACTGTGTGGAGGCGCCGGGTGCGTCTGCTGTACTGGATGTTCTGCGCGGCCCGCCGGGTCGTTTGATTCGTCCTGCGGGACGCGCCGGGAGCAGAACAGCTCGTTAAAAACAAACAGGACTGCTCTGAAGCAGGAACAATGAGGAGACGCAAACTATTCACGTCGTTGCTCTTAGAGCGTTGTCTCCCAGTATTTACCAACAGAGGCAGAAATAAGGGAGAGGTGTGTGTGCTCTGATGTGTGTGAGCGGCTGTTGGACCTGTGATCCGTCCGTTAGCCTCCATCGGCGGCTGCCAGCTGATGAGGACGGCACGAGGGCGTCCTTCCCGACTGATGACCGTCAGATCTTTGGGGGCGGAGCTTGGAGCTGCCAATCAGACATGGAGATCGGTCAGCAAAATGTGGAAACGATCTGTTCCAGGTGTGACGGTTCCTCAGGGCTCTGTTCTTCATACAGGTTTCATTTTCTCACAATGTTCTTCAACCATTCACTTTTAGGGATGAACAAAATATTATCAACATCTGTATCAGGCAGTTAGTTATTTTATAACACATCAATCAGTCCAAAAAGCAAAACTGGGCTGATATCAACCGATGTTTATGTCCATCTTGTTGTTTTAGCAGCGAAGCAGCACAGTGACTTTTACATGGTGTCAAAATGTAGAGAAATATCTATACAAGATGAATGACATCAATAAATATCAGTTAGCATCCATATCAGCAATATTAATATCTATATCTGACCAGATTTTCATATCTGTGTCTCTTTGTCTAGCAGACATAAACATTGTCCCACTTTATCTTAGCAGAAGATGCTGCTGGTCGTACTTCATAGATTATCCTTCATTTCTTCTGTTTCTCCTCCATTTGGGTCTAATAATGGACAAAACCTTCCTCTGTCATATAAACTGGAGGCTCAGGGATCACCTAGCCTGTTAGCTAACTCAGCTACATGTCATTTCCCATGAGCCACTAAATAAACGTTAAGCTAAATATTCATGTTTCTTGTCTAACAGGATTTTGTCGAAGCTGAATCCAGTCCAGTTTGGTCTCCTGGCCGTTGCGTCTCGTCCTCCACAACAGAAACAATCAAAGTTTAAACGGGTCACAGAAAGTTGGACTCAAATATCATTTTGATGTCTGTTACTTTTTACACAAACACAGTTTAAGTCTAATGACTTTTCTGCTGAGCTCACAGTGTGTTAATGTCAAAAGCACTCGGGTTTTTGACGCTGTGAATGATGTACTTTGAGTTTCAGAACTATAATTTCATCTCCACATTCGGGTCTTCAGTTCTCATCTACATGTGGCTGTTTGTCTGTTTTCACCCTGTAGGACTTGCAGGCAAACTGACATTTTCTTCTATGTGAGAGATATAGCTACATGTCATAAACCACTGAGGACATAAATATTAAAAAGTGCGACCAGGTTCTGGTTCCAGGTTCTGGTTCCAGGTTCTGGTTCCAGAATTTTTTCTGGTACCATTTACAAACAGATTGAGGTTTTCAGTGTTAAGCCCAAAAATATTTGTGTAAGAACCAGAACGTCAGAAAATGCTGAGTCACTGGTTGCTATAGTAACTCCCTCCTTTACTGTTCCAAGGAGGGAATCACCATAGCAACCAGTGACTCAGCCTTTCTGAGTCTCTGGTTCTAACTCTGCTCAGCAGATTCTCCTCCTTCTTCTTCTTGACTTCATATTAATTTCAGCTTTATGCTGATAGGAGGAAGTCGACCTCAACTTTTATTAGAGCATTTCTTCTTAATGTTTAAACGCCAACATGCTGTGAGGAATAATTATACAATTTGGTTTAATTAGTAATTAGCCAGTTTAATTTAATACAAATAATAATAAAAAAATCCCTCAGAGAAACTAAATATTGTCGTAATTCATATCATCCAACAGTTGTTATGGATGTTAGCATGACAGTCTCATGCTAACAGCTAAATCCATGATGACATTCCACAGGAACACGTCCTGGATGAAACGATCAGTTGCTAGCTAGCGCTGCTAATCCACCTCCTTTGCTTTTGCTGCTCCTCTTTAGGTCCCCATCTGGCCGTTTGGTTGGAGACGTTGGAGTCGGGGATAAGATGAACTTCCTCCTTCTCTCCCTGCATCCATTAAGATGCTCCAGGTAAAAATAAAACCTCTTTACAAGTCAGAACCGTCTGAAAGCTAAAAGATAACAACAAAAATCCTGCATGGGATCCAAACTACCTTAAACTTTATTACTTTTAATTGTGATCTTTGCCTTTTTGCTAATTCTGGTTGTGTTTCTGGGTTAAAGTGAGGGGCAGTTGAGCAGAGCTGAGGCGTTCAGGTGAAAACGGCTCTCTGAGTGACCCCGGCCCGCTGTGAGGTCCAGTTCAGGTGACGTGTGGCGTCCAGGTAGCTTTTCATTCCAATAATTTGCAGCGTTTTAATGATTGTGAAGCTTTCATTAACTTCCCAGTCGGGCTGCTCCTGCAGTGAAAATGTCAAGCACTCCCTCTCCACCTCCTTTTGACCTCCTCGTCTCCATGGAAACCAGATGGCAGGGTCTATCGGACCTTTCCTAAGTGCCTTCTTTATGAATTTCTTTCAGCGACAAAAAGCACCGCTTGGTTTTTTTGAAGTTTCCCGGCAGGACGCAGCTCAAAGCTCGCATAGCGGCGATGTCTAATGAAACCGCTTGTTAAATCTGACACTCAGAGCTGGAGGAAATTACAAGTTCCAGCTGAGTCCATGAGTGATGCTGACAACCTGTACTTCTCCTAAACACAGCCGGGGAAAGCGCTGCTTCCAGGACTCGGATCAGAAATGATTAACAGCTTGTAATCAGCGCTAACAGCTGACCTGACAAATCATCCCTAATAATGCAAATAGTGATAATAACGAAGTTATGAATTAATCAACACACGGGTAAGAGGATAAACACCATGGGAATGTCGAACACCCACACCGCGCTTCCAGGAGTTAAAGTGAAGCTTTTAGCAGGAATCCAGACGCTCTAATGGCTTCAGTTTCATCTTCAGGTTACTGATGAAAAGAACGAAGCTTTTATCAGAGTAATACGAGGAATAAAGAGCTTTACAGCAGCTCACTGCAGGGACTCTGCAAAGTAAAAGCTTTAAACCGAGGGCCTGAACATTTGAAACGGTTTCCTTTGAAACGTATATATTTGAGTGTAATAACTGCACATGATGGGCTGCAGTGAACTGGAAGGACTGTAATAAATGTCGACTTAAACGGATTTAAATTTAACTGAACCTCCTGCTTCTGCTGCAGTAACAACATTTCAAACTTGATATCATTTCTGACACTGTGGCAACATTTTCTGAGTAAATATTATTAATTACAATATGATTAAATTTTACACATATAATTAAGCTAATAATTAAAGAAATTAAACTTCATTTAAAATATAATTTTCCTGTTTGGAAAAAGTAAACAGTAGAAATATTAAAATGAACCTGAAATTATTTTATTGAACTATAACTGCTTTTCTTCCATTTGTTTATTTTTGATGCAATTTTTATTACTGAGGGGAAAATAAAGGCTAATTCTAAAATAAAATAAGTTATAATTCAAAACAAATCTGTAGCGTACAAAACTATTTTTACAGTGTAAACATGAATCCAGTCCATGCAGATTAACTCAGCAGAAGTTTTGTACGATTTCAGTCTGTCTGGTTACCTGAATATCCTTTACTAGCATCATCGATCCGTCCATGCTAACAGATGTTATCTACCTTAACTAGCTATGTGAGGCTAAAAGGATAAGCTAGTTAGCTAACTAGCAAAGTAAGTGCACTTGATGTTATCTATGATAACTACTTATCTGGAGCTAAACAGATCATCTCGCTAGCTAGCATGTTAGCTAAGTGTAGATTATGTCAATGTTAACTAGTTATGTGGTGATAAAAGCTAGCTAGCTAGCAAAGTGAAATTGATGTTATCTATGTTAACTATATATGAATATAAGGCTAAAACGATTAGCTGGCTAGCTATCAAAGTATAGTTGATGCCAGCTATGCTAACTAGGAGGCTAAAAGAATGCTTGATCAGAATAAATTTGGAAAAACTTAGATTTTTAATAATTAAAATGAATTATCTTTATTCTTCATATTTTAGCTATTGGAGTTAAAAGTCATATTTTGTGTAATTTTGGAGGACAGAGTTTAGAAACAGCTTTCAATCCTCAAGAGTTGAATAAAAACACTTTGTTACATTTTTGTCCTCTTGTGCTAGCAGCATTACAAGGCAAAACGATTTTAGATATTAAAGCTAAACAGCATCAGGTACTTATGAATCTCCTGTAATTCATCCTTCAGATGTTTTTCTGAAAACGACTCTTTTCTGTTGCTGCTTGACCTACAGACCCTTTTCTGAAGCTCTTATCTCTCAACAGGTGTCTGTTGTCAATTTTTACCAGGGAAGCAGCAGAGCTACAAGCTGTGATAAAGGCACGCTCCCTCTCCTCTGTTGCTGTGAAACTCTGCTGTTTTGTTGTGAGAGATTGTCTGTTTAAAGCCTCCTGAGTCGGCCGATCAGCGACAGACTGAGTGGACTCGCTCCATCTGCTGACTCTGAATGTCAATGTATTCCAGCGGGCCTCGGGGAGCCGCTGGGCTAATGCCGTTCACGCTTAATTGGGTGACAAATCCAGCAAACACGATTGTATACATCCTGAAAGGTGGAAGCGTGACATTTTGATTCCGGCCGGCCGTTGTTGCAGACAGTCGTCGTGTTGTTGCCGGGGAGAGCGAGGGAAGTTACGATGATTCTTCACTGAACCAGAACGTGTTTTCAGTCCATTGTTAAACTCCTTGTTAAAAATAATTGCTGTTCAGGAAGAAAATTCTGCAACTCATTGTTTTTGTTGCACCTGTTTTCCTGAAAGCTGCTGCAGATCATAATTTACCTCTGAACAGAAAACAGGGAAAAGAAAGCAGCTTCAAAGCAGGATTCCTGCAGGCTGCACATGAAAGATTCATCTCTTCGTTCCGTTTAATGCTAGGAGATGAAAAAAGTTAATTTTTTTCAGCTTGCACTTGTTTCAGATCATCAAACAAACGTTAATATCAGACAAACCCTCAAAACATCACTTAAACAGAACTGCCTGACATGAAGTAGGCTAAAAGTTACCAAAAAACAACACATAAAGCCTCTGTCTGATTCAAGATCTTCAACTCACTGAGTTTACAAAGACTTACAGAACCAAAATGTCTTCATCATCCCAAAACCTCTGGGAAAATAATCTGTGGAGCGACCTGATGCCAACTAAACCACAAATCAACTTCGTTTTTGTAAATAAACTGTCTAAATCTGTCCTTAATGGTTTTATCCGTGTTTCTGTGAATGTATTTAAATCCACAATATTTAACCTAAAACTGACTCAGTGCTGCCCTCTTTGGGTCAAAGGGAGGTTACTGCAGGTGAATTTTCGATGGCGTTTCTCAGATTTGCGTGATTTCTTTTCATTGTGACCCTAATGGGTCTCACTGAGCGATTAGCAGTTCACATGTCGTCAATAAAATTATTCAATAACAGAAAAAGGTGTTAGATTTCTCAGCCCTCACTTTTGTTTGAAAATTCGTCAGCAGAGCTTCATTCATCCTGACCTCAGGCCTTCTGCTCGTGGCCACGCCCCCTGTGTGTAATGACTCCGCCCACTTTGGTGGAAATACATTCTGGGGGCGGGGCTAAGGTCTCACAGGAGGCTTTGGGTGCTTTCCCTCCAGTTCTGTTCAGTCCGCTTTAGTCCAATCTGGTCCATTTGTCTAGAAAGTTCGGCTCTGGTGTGAACGCGGATCGATCTCTGAAAACCAGACTCTGGTTCTCCAGACCTCAGCCTGGGTTCAGTCAAAGTGAAATCTGGTGAACATATGTGAACACCAAGCAGACCAGAGACCGCTCCAAAAACAGGAGGTGGACTACAGCGCAGGGCATTCTGGGTAAATACAACCAAAGCTAACATCCTAGCCGAGCGCTAGCAGGAGAAATGGCTCCTGGTTTTTAGCCAATGACTAAAGAGAAAACCTCCAACTGCTAAAATCTGACGCCTCCATTTTAGTTTCCATTTGGTGAAGAAGGAAGTTGTAGTTGTGTTGAGTGTTTCTTTCAGTGGTTCTTGGTGCAGCGCCCCCACAGGCCAGGAGGGGAACAGGTTGGTCAAAGGTTTGGAAGTTTAGATCATAATCACTTCTCTTGGATGGATTTATTCCCTGAATAATGAAAGCATCATTTTAAAGCTACCTTTTGGGTTTACTTAGGTTCTGTTTGTTTTGATAATGTGTAACATTTAAATGTGACAAAATAGCAACAAAATAAGAAGTAAGTTGCTTTAATGTGAACTTTTTCAACAAAAGAATTAAAATATACCAGCTCCTGGATGATAACTGGAGATGCGAGCTTCGCCCGAGTCGTACCTGCTTCATACGTCGTGGCGTGGGCAGTCATGCTCCAGGTGCTGGACCTCCGACCTTTGGTTACCATGACGGCAAACTCGTACATGGTGTTGGGTTTGAGTCCGGTGACGGTGTGGCTGAGAGCTGTGGTGTCTGCAGACTGAAAACACGGGTCGCTTCAGAAACTTAAATCTGCTGAAAGTTTTAATAAACCGAGTCTGAGGATCCAGACGCCTCAACCTGCACAAGCGTCAGCAGAGTTTCAGAAAGTTTCCACCTGAGGATCTGATTTCCAGCGATTCATGATCATCGACGAGGCGCGAAGAAGATGCATCAATGACACGATGTGAAGAAATTAAGAATGCTGTTGTCTATTATTTCCTCCGCTGCTTCCTGTGAAGGTGAACCAACTGCATCGATTTATTTTATTAGTTTCAGGTTTTATTCAACCTTTATGAATATTGCAGTCATGGTAGAGGTCAGAGGTCAAAAGAAGCGTCTTATGAAAATGACTGGGTGAGTCGGGTTTCTGCAGTTATCAATAATCAGGTTTCATGGCAACTTTACTAAAAACAAACAAAAATTATGTTAGATGGAAACAAACAAAAGGAGAAATTCAGAAAAAATGAAAAAAACTAAATCATCATCCAACCGTCAGTTCATCCATCTGTTCATCCAACGTCT